TGACTAAATGCTGCTGTTGAGCCATATATGGAAGTCATGCAAGGCACAATACTGTAACAGACCAAACTCACTGTTTAGAGAGCCACGCATAATGCTCAAATATGAGCTCCTTGGGCCCAGTCCTCTGACGGAAAAGGTCGATATGTCGGCGGAACTGAGCAATGGCATCTCGGGGGAGGTTGAGAGCAAAGTCCAGGCGGCAGATCTTGTAGTTCACTATGGCAGCCACAATGCGTATCTCGTGGAGGTTTGTGTCCGTTGATCTGAGATCTAGCAGATGGTGGTAGCACTGTGCATAGTGTCTGGATGAGGAGGAAAAGAATGATGAAGGAAAGAAACAAAAGAAAAAAAAAAAAAGAAAAAAGCAGTTTCTCAATATCTGTCAGAATGAGATAGAAGCGGTAAAGCTCTATGCCATTTCTGGGCATTGTCAATAAAATGAACAAAATAGTATATTTCCAAACTGAAAATCCATTGTCTTTAATGCAAACCAACAAAGCTCTTTAAAATAATCATTGCCCAGGATAGAAAAAAATTCTCAAAACCAATAACCCATCAAGCAAATGCTTCCCATTACATTTCTTATCTAACATCACACTGACAATCCCCTTCACATTTCTTATCATCATGAGGAGGAACACAAGCCAAGCCATTTCAGAACTCACTTAATAGCCGTCTGCCGGTCGTTACGCATCTCGTTCAGGAACCCGAGCTTGAACTGGTGCCGCACGAAGAGAAGGCTGTGGTTGGTCTTGTTGAGGAAATCACGGTGGGCTCTCACGCCTTTGATTTCTCCGAGGTAGAAGGACCAGGCTATCTCACTGAGGGCAGTCTCCAGCCTGGAAGGATGTGTAGACTGAGAAAGGGTGGTCCAAGATGAGTATTTCTGCTTTCTGGGCAGAAATGCTCGCTGTAATCCTATATTCAATATTCATGTACATTGTCTTACAATTTCGCTGTAATCCTATATTCAATATTCATGTACATTGTCTTACAATTTCTTTACTTGAATATGCAGATTCTGATGATGGACATAGCTTTGATGTCTGAAACTTCAATAAATGAATATGTGGATGATGTGGTTTCCTGCTTTCCTGTCGTGTGTATATATATGTGTTTGAGTGTGTGTGTGTGTGTGTGTGTGTGTGTGTGTGTGTGTGTTGTGTGTGTGTGTGTGTGTGTGTGTGTGTGTGTGTGTGTGTGTGTGTGTGTGGTGTGTGTGTGCGTGTGTGTGTGTGTTGTTGTGTGTGCAAGTGTGTGTATGTGTTTAAATCTAATCAACATGAATCCTGCATAAATATCTAAAAGACTATAAAAAGGACCCCTACTTCATTGGACAAAAGAAAGAAAGAAACGATTATAAATAATAACCTAAATAAGGTAATCAACCCAAGAAGACGGCAAGAAATATAGACAATGACAGAGTCCAATGAGGACAGCAAGAAAATAATGCCGCAGGGAAGGCAACCAACCAAACCTCACCAGCTGGCTTCAGTCCCGACCTACCTCACTGTGTACCCCAAGAGGTGTGCGTCGGAATGGGGCAGAACGAACAGGTGCTTGGCAGGGAGGTCACAGGCGGCGCAGAGTGTCGCTGCCTTCTCTGCTGCACCTGTGTCCTCTCCCGGCACACTTATGCCGCTCTGGATCAGCACCAGCGCCACACGGGTATTGCGGCCACTCAGCACCGTCCTGTGTTTGAGGGTTGGAAGAAGTGTCAAGCAAAATGAGGAAGGGTACAAGAACAGATAAAAAACAAGTCATCACAGTGATGTTGAGAAGTCAGTAACAGAAATAATGAAGATAAAGAAAAAAAGCTCCTACATGAAATAATAATAAAGATCATGGCAATATTGCAATTACTATATTACCAAAAACAATAATGGCAAATATAATTCCCGTGACTAACGTAGAAAGAGGTACGAATGAGAATGAAGAACTTCCAAGTGCAAGAAGTTTGATCTGACTGGTTTCGATTCCATCTTCATCAGAAATACATGATATAATCAAAACTGGTGCAGTGCATCTCTTGCACTGTGAACTTATTCATTCTCACTCATAAAATTTTCTAATCTTTTTTGCAATGAACAACTGTTTATCTTTTTTATCATGACTAACACTAACCAAAATAAAAAAACAAAAAACCTAATTCACAAACCAGTCTTTTTTCCCCTAACATCCATCCCTATATGAGAGCCTATCCTACTTAGCATTCCTTTTCCATTTACTCACTTGAGTGTCTGCACCTTTGCGGCCAGTTCGGTCTTCTTCTCGCCCCAATTGGTGTCATTCCAGTCGAGGTCGTAGAAGAGGACAACGAGTGCGGGAATGTTGTAGAGGTACTTGGTGATCCAGTTCGCCTTCAGAATGCCCTTGGGAATGTACCACTCGTAGGACTGACGCTGTGGGAATACCATGGGAAGGTGAGGATTCTCTCTCTCTCTCTCTCTCTCTCTCTCTCTTCTCTCTCTCTCTCTCTCTCTCTCTCTCTCTCTCTCTCTCTCTCTCTCTCTCTCTCTTCTCTCTCTCTCTCTCTCTCTCTCTCTCTTCTATTTCACAGAAATAATTCAGTTTATGATCAACATTGGCTCACCTTCTGCTTCATGGGAGGGATCTGGAAGTCACTCGAGAGGTGTCTGAAGTGAAGGGGTGTGCGGTCTGTCCTCCGGTTGAGGGAGAAGGCTTCCCATACTGACTTGTGTGTCGACTTGTTGGCTATGTCTAGTCCTGGGGGAGGTTTCACGGGGGGTATTTAATTATCACTTGTTTTTTTACTTTTCTAATTGCTAATTATTAATCCCCTTAATCTGGGTCTTTATGTATTTGGTAATTCTTCACAGTACGGTTGCACTCACCAAACACTAAGTCCCTAATTCCTTATTCAACAATCTAACTTGCCGTGACTAGGCATTCCAGACTGCCCCCGGTAAAGATTGTCTTCATCTCTGTATGCACGGCAAGATAGAGCTGAAACTCGGGAGTATTGGGTGGACTTGGGCTGGGAGTAGTGCCTTCCGTGATCTTTTCCCATTATTTGTGGCATTATCATTTGTGTCTGCAGATTATTTCTTGTACTGACAACAGCAACTTTTTGTCCTCTACAAGAATATCATCTTCAATTTCCCCTACCATAGTGCGTCCATACAGTAAAGATTAACCGTCTATTTTTTTTAAATTTTTATGTTTTAGTGAAAACCTTCACCAATTATGATGATCATTACGATCAAGACTATCGTTATTAAAATTATTATTATTACAATCGTTATTATCATAATAAATTTTATTACTTTATATTACTGCTCTCCAATATAGAGCTTTCTATGAAGCAAAGCATACATATTGACTAATAAAATATAACAAACTAGTGATGTATGAATTAACTTGATAACTCAACACAATTGCCTCCTTGTAGACACTTCTCAAGGCAAAGCTCACAAAATACTTCCATTCCTCATTCTAAAAAAGCAGGATTGATTCCTAACACAGTAAAACTTACCGAGCATTCCTATCAACCCATGAGGGGGAGTGGTCACCTCTGGGGGTAGCCCATAAGGGTCAAATTCATCCTCCATGTCTGAGCAGTTGTGCAAGGCCACTCAGTGGATGTCTGTGGACGGAAAGGAAAAGATAACTTTAAGTCTCACTGGTGATGAATCACTTCTATGAACAAAATGATAAATAAAAAATTGAGTCCAGATAATAAAATCAAATGATAAGGTTGTTAAGAGATGGAAGAAAATAATCAAAATGCAATAAAATCAATAAATAAGTCCTACAAATTCTTCTTAATTCTAATAATACTTTGACTATCAATGCTGCACATTTTGGGGTGCCCAGAGTGGTGGCGGTATATATATTCACAATCAGAGAGAAATTTACAAAAACACAAGGAAAGTCTGATTTTGATTTTGGTAAATATATACACACATTTATCACTATATAGAAACTTAGAATATGCTGAAAAAAAGAGAAAATATTAGGGTATCCAGTATCAAGAAATACCAATTCTCTAATTATCCAGATAATTTTTAAAAAGTGGATCATGTGCAGATCGAAAAGCCTAAGATAATAAGCATAAAGAATACATAAAAAAAACATTACTACAAACAAAATAACTTATATACAAACTTAAGGCAAGCACAGCAGTAGTGAATTTAGCAATTGCCAAGCCCTATGTGCTTCAGATAACAAACCAAATACGAAGCTAGAAGACTTTCTTTTCAATGCATAAGTAACGAAGTATCCAGTTTACTCTATTTTGTTTTGATAGATTGAGGGTTATTGGTCTTAGCCAAAGCACTGCATGAATGGAGGCCACATTGACTGCAAGATATAGTTTAGAGGATAATAAGGTCCTAGGTTCAGGAATTACTGTAAAGACTAAACAATTATAAATACATTGTACTGACACAAATATATATGAAACAAACTAAAATTGATGGTAGGAAATCAGATGGGGAATAACAGATACATAGCTATACAATAAATATTAAAACGATTTCTGTCGGCAATCGAAATTCAGGGATTTCTGAAAAGCAAAAAGAAAATAAAAGAAAAGAAAAATCCGAGACCAAGTTACGAGAGAAAAAAAACACCCTCATGCAAAACCTCATATTAATGGCTATCTCCTGAATTACAACAAATATCCACATAATAAGAACAAAAAGGAACAACCCACCTATTCGGAATTTCGAGAAGGTCCTTCTACCAGGGTCCCCAGACAGGATATATGAGGAAAAACAATGAAAGAGGAACAGACTGAAATTTCTTGATCTTTTGACGTCCAATGTTTACCTTTTCTCGCCACTGTTGCCAGAGCCAGAGAGAGAAAGAAATCTTCTAGTATATATATTTATTTATCTATTTATGTGTACGTTATTTGGATATATATATATATATTTAATTATTGCAGTGTTTGGGTTTGGTTGTGGTGTTTAGGATGTAAAGAATTATGTAGAAAATTTAAAAAATCACTTGTAAAAGGGTTATATTCAATTATTAATTCGTTTGTGCTTTCGTATTGTTTAGATATAGTGTAGAATATCAATTATTTTACGTTTTTTAAGTTGGAATACATTTTTTAAGTTGAAATATATTGAATTGTAAGACAAATGATGTTTTAACCTGATTAATTGTTTCAATTTGTGTATACAGGGTTTAGATTAGATAGAAACAGGGAATTGTTTTACACATTCCAAATCCAATAATAATTCATACAGCATCAAATATAAACTAAAGAAACATATTGCTATTCATAGGGATATAAACATTCCATAATCCTGATGTATTTCAGCTCATAAATTTGTGAATATAACATGTTACATATTCAATTATTGGCTGTACTGCAAAGTGACACCCAGAGGTCGCTTATTCACGAAAGCGAAAAGAGGCTCTTCGTTCAGTTCTAAAACGTATCCAATAAATCTCTTTTTAAAGTGTGTCTATATGCTTCACTTCGTTTTTATAGTTTTATCCTTTTTTAATGTAGAATACAGTAAACTAGATAACCGGAACTGCATAAACTATTATGTTAAATACCTGTAAAGTAGATTAACTAATAATAATCATGAAAATGATTTAACTTATACAAAATAAACGGTGGCCATTGCCATGATAATTATTACGGTAAAATATAAAGATATGGCTAATGATAATGATGTTAGACATAATGACGACATCAAAATGATATTAAAGATACAGTAAAAAATAATGGTGACGATGGAAAGCAAGAAAAACAATGATAGTGATTATTGCCCATAACATTGCTATTGACAATACTATTAATAATGCTAATAATGATGATAATAATAATAATAAAAATTATAAATAAATGATAACAATGACAATAATGATAACAGCACCAACAACAATTATAATAATGATAATAATGATAATTATAATAATAACATAAACAATAATAACAAAAATAGTAATAATGACAATAATAATAACAATAATGCTAACATCAATAATAATGACGATGATAATGATAATAATAGTAATAATAATAATAATAATAATAATAATAATAATAATAATAATAATAATAATAATAATAATAATAATAATAATAATAATAATAATAATAATAATAATAATAATAATAATATAATAATAATATAATAATAATAATAATAATAATAATAATAATAATAATAATAATAATAATAATAAAAATAATAATAACAATAACAATAACGATAATAGTAACTAATAATTACCATAATAGTAATAATAATGATAATAATAACAATATCAATCGCAATAATAACAAAAACAATAATAATAAAAATAATAATCATAATGACAGTGATAACACTAAAAATGATAATGATAATAATAATAATAATAACAATAATAACAACAATAATAACAGTAATAACAAGTATTATTAACAATATAAGCAATTGCCATACTAATAATGATATAACAATAATGGTAATTATGATAATAACAACAACAGAAATAACGATACCAATAATTATAATTGTTATCAATACTGTTGTCACTGTCATTATTATGATTATTATTACTATTATTGTAGTTATCATTCTCTTTATTATCATTATCAAAGATAATATCATTATTACTTAAATTTTTCCATATATCAGTATACTTATCAATATTACTGTTTTAATCATTATCTTAATCATTACCATTGTTATCATCATTGCTATTATTATTGTTATTATTATCAGCATTATTATTATCATTATTATTATTACTACTATTATATTTAATCATTCATTATTATTGTTATTGTTATCATCATTATTATCATTGTTATCATCATTATTGTCATTATTATCATTACAACCTTCATCTTTTACAACCGAAAAGCCCTCAACCGAGTCTTCTACAACCCTTATAACCCCTACAACTCTCCGATCTACAACTGAGTCACAACNTATATATATATATGTATGTATATGTACATGTACATGTACATGTACATGTACATGTACATGTACATGTACATGTACATGTACATGTACATGTACATGTATATGTATATATGTATATGTATATGTATATGTATATGTATGTATATGTATATGTATATGTATATGTATATGTATATGTATATATATATATATATTTATTTGCATTTATATATATTATATATATTATATATATTATATATATTTTATATATATTTATATATATACATATATCTTTATATATATACATATATATACATACACACACACACACACACACACTTTCTCTCTCTCTCTCTCTCTCTCTCTCTCTCTTTTTAATGATAAAAAGATTAAACTTAGAAAATCATACTGATATTTTTTTTCATGCTAACAAGTTTTTGCAAGAGTTATGAAGATCACAGCAGTAATGATGTGTTGAAAAGCTGGAATAGCTCTCACAAACCACTTAGAAATTAAATACCAAGTGTGAGATCACTGCATGCATTTGATTGATTAAAGTCAGCATGCAATAACTATTTACACGCACGCACAGGTAAAATGGTTTGCATAATCACATTTTTATTACAGACTGCTACAATTTACGTGAAATTTCGATAGTAGTTCATCATACTTGAGACATCATAAAATAGTGATAAATCATTTATTTTACCCCTATAAAAGGTTCTACCTCAAAATGTAATACAGTACATCTATGATCTCTGACCAGCTTAAACTGTACTATAGGAAATGTAGACCACATACTCGAAATATACATACCACATTGAATATTAAGTGTAATACCACATGGATTTCCTGTATATAACATACTGGCCAATTTAAGTTCTATAACATAAAATGAAAATAATCATAAATTCCTTAAATTACATGACTGCCCTATGTAGTGGAAACCTGACTAATTATTCTGACATTTCATATTTTCATAGCATTTCCCTCATCATTAAAAGATTTCGAGTACACAAACATTTTGTGAACTATTTCCAGGGAAATTGCTCAGAAAGCAGATTAACAGTCTCAGTCTTTTCCTTTCTCCCTTAAACTGTGGACTCATACCACTGTTTATATTCAGTCAGCAGTTTATGGTACTTTTGTGCATATCATAACTACTGTGTTTGGTAATGAAGGCATATATTTTCAGTTCTTTGTGGTTCAATGCCACATCAGTTAAGAGCTTATCATACGCAAAAAGTCGCTTTGTAAATTGCATTCCATTACAAAATCCTCTCAGGATATAACAAAAAGAAAAAAATACACGCATTTGAACACAATAACTCTGTATAAAATGTATTGAGCTCATATTTACATGTGATTTATCACTGGGATCATTAGAGAATATTCTTTATCACAGGCATATTTTGTGAAAAGAAATCTGAAAAACTATGACACTATATTCAAAGCAGCAATTATGACAATAAATTATGATTCCAAAGGAAAAAGAAGGAACAAAATATGATATTACTGCTGCTGTCAAGAAATCAGGTATAGTATATGCTTAAAGCACACCACACAGAAGACGGGAAATCAGGAAGAAAGAAAAAAGCGACATCAAATAATACAAATGTTACATCTTCCATTTAGCCTTGTTACTTCTCTGGTTGGGTGCAACATGTAATCCTACTCGGATTTTATGAACTTCCCAAGTGCTGGTGTTTTTTTTATCACTTTCAAAAAGTTATGCAGTGTGTGAACTAATCACACTGAGGGAGAAAAAATATTCCAAAACTAAATAATAAAAATAAATAAATAAACAAAAACATAAATAACAAAAACAAAACAATATTCATTCATGAAAACAGTATTCAACCCTAAAATACCTAGTCAAAGTACTATAAGGTAAAAATACTTTAACTGTTAAGCACCTCAAGAATATATTATAAAACAAATCTTGTGTTGCATTATCTCTTTTGATATTAAGAAGGTCACACACAGACAAACTGTGGCTTTTTCTTCCTTTCCCTCTTCCCTTCAGAACCCATCCACACCCCCACCAGCTGGTAGAATCTCTGTTGAAAAGTGAAAGGCAGTGTCTGCTTCTTGGTTCTTCTTTCACACTTGATACCTTCTGCACTGACACTCATGCCACCACCAGTGTGGATGTGGAGTGGTGCAATCAGCTTTAGTAGTATAAGATGTTAACACAATTATATTACTATTACAAGAAAGTGCTGAGCAGTCTGGAAGACATGCTTGACATAAAAATGGAAGTTTCTTAAAATACAACATATGAACAGTGAAAGCTTTATGACCAAGTAACATTTTGTAACAGACATATTTGTATTTCATATATACACATACCATTATTTACAAGAGCAGATGCAAACAGAACATGCTGACATAAACTAATATATACATAGTCAATACCCTCCTCTCAAATTACTGTAGCAAAAATGAACTTGAGAAAGAAGAAACAACAACACTGCAAGCAGAAGCAAACTATACAGGTGTCCCTCTGTATCAACCAGCAATACAGGAGACTTGTTTTCATATCTAGGAGAGATCATCCCTATGATAAACATACAATATACTTTTCATTTGGAGGAAAATGTAAAATATCAAAGAGATATTAACTGGCACTTTAGTACTTCAGTTCAATACATTCATTGTCTTAGAGTGATTTGGGTTCTTTGTTTCCCAGTGAAGAGTCAATGATGAGTAACATTTCAAGTCCTGCATGGAAAAATGAAAGAAATAGATCTAGTATTTAGTATATCATTATTCCTTTGAGAATCATTAAGTGACTTCACTCTTTCGTCTAATAGACAAAAGCAATTTCAGCATACATTAAAGATATCAAATTCACCTCAGCACTTGTTATCTGCTACATCAAACTCTACTGACATGATAGGCCTAATTACAGTGCTGACTTGTGAATGATTTTGATTTTAGCAGTAATCTGATTTAATATTAATTCTAAAGACACTATAAACCTGTGGTAATAATGTAGCTCTGTGTAGATCTGAAATATTCTAACACTGAGAAATCAATCACAGTTCTAGAGGATATTACTATTTAAGTTTAAAGCTGAGATGAATTTGGTCATGCATACATTTGCAATATATATCACATAAATATCATGTTAATTAGAAGTAAATGCAGGCCTCTCTCTTCACACCAAACCACAGAAAAGCCTTTGTTTTGTAGAAAAGGCAAATACTTAAAGACACAAGAAAATATCATATATACTAATCTCCAACTGATATAGATTATTTAAACAGAAAGGTGAAATATGGTCTTTCACTTAATGCCTTAGCAAATATAGATATTTTCAATAGTCCAGAAAAGAAAATAATCATGTTAAATATCATATATTTCACAATTTATCTATTTTGTTTTCAATTTGATGCAATACCAGTATTTGCAATAGCCAGACATAAAGCAAAACACACATCTTTCAGCTTCTATTTATTTCTTGAACACAGTTGAATTGAAGCACATTACATCAAAATTACTTTTGAAGTTAAGATATATATTAATTTTTTTGTTCCTTATGCTCTCTCATCCATGACTGTCACACTAAATGACCAAAATATCATCATTAATATATTTTTTCAAAGTCTGGGAATGTTTTCTTTTCTTGGAAAAATATACAAATACACATGTAACTACTCTAGATTACTAGATACTGTTTAAAAGAGCAACAAATGCATATCATGACCAGAGGCCTTTATTTTGAGACTTAAGACACAACTTTATGCTTTGACAAGATCTGCAAACAGACAAAAGTTATAGTGTTTATGCTTTTACAACCTTATCATAGGACTGCATCATTTCCGTGATGTGAACCAAACATCAATTCAATCAATGATTTGTGGAGCAAATTTGCTACCTGAACACTATTTTCTCACAATTTACATAAAATTTTGTTTGTTTGTTTATTTAGCCAAGATACATATTTCATAGAGAAATTGTAAAAAAATGTTTAAAGAAAATAAGGACCCCCTAATAAAAAAATGCCTAAACTCCAAACACAAAGTATTTAAGTAAATACCTCGTCTCTAATCATCTCAAAAATATCTGCATCAAAGGAAACAACTCAGAAAGGCATAAAATTCAAATACAAATACAAACAATCTGACAAAAAAGGAACAACAAAGCAAAACAATCATGACGAGAAAACAGTGCAAATAAAACAAAAAAGAAAGAACACAGACCAGCTACATACACGTAAGAGTTAGTACAAAACAATAACAAAGAAAGGAAATCATTAGCTATCAACAATAGATAAACTGAAAGATAAAAATAAAATAAATGTGAATATATATTAGTGAAATATTTGGATTACTGAGGTCAGAGAACGCTTGCCGTGCCATTCCTCTGATACTTATTTCTGAGGCGAGTTAGTGTGGATGAGGACTCGCTGCTGAGGGTGGAGTGCGTGTAGGTCAGAGGTCGGTTGGCAAAGCGTCGTTTGAGGGAAGTGATAGGGCGTGTCTCATCTTCTCTCCATCTTCGCCAGTTGTGATGTTCAATGGGGTCTTGTGGGCCCCAGTCACCCCATTCTCGTGATGACTGCAGTGATGATGCCACTTTCTGTTTTATTAAACAGACGAAATTCAATACTGGCTTTTGAATTATCAAACTTGGTAAGATGTCATAAAAAAATCATGTACTGCATTAATATTACTGTAACAGGCATTCACACACATACGTACATCTTTTACGCCGTATGCAAGCTGTGATTTTACAACATAAATAGCAGTGATAGGAACAGGTAGCAGGACCAGTGCACGAAGTCCCCACACAACTGCAATTCGCCAAGCAGGTCCATCAATGACAGCAACATGATGGCTGTCCATGACACATGACCATACAACAACACCCTGGAAATAAAGTGTGTGCAGAGTGTTAAACATCTTCCTCTTATATAGGAGACTTGATAACTAATTTCTTGTATTTCTTCTCAAATATTAATCTTGCGAGTTATAATGCTATGGGAAAAAAGCAAACAATAATCATATATAAATTCTTAAACCAATTCTCCAGCTTAAATCAGGACACTACTGCATAACATTCAATTTCTTTTAGTCACTTGCCATATCTATTTAAAGACGTTTCAATATTATTAATAGGAGAACCGCTGAAATTAATTTGTTTTCAGTTCTACAAGGGGCAGCTAAATGCAGAACAAATTCCTTTCCACCCTTTTGAGGGACTGTACTGCTGGGTTAAATTCTTTTTTTCTATGTGAATACAAGTTTCATTTGTTCCAGGAAATAAAACTCTTTTAACAGATGAGAGAAAAACAGGAATAATAACTCACCAGAAGTGTCAAAGGGATGAACACACCCCATACTGGTGCCCAGAGCCAAGACACTGTTGCCTCAAGCATAAAGGTGAAGTCTTTGCGAACTTTGTGTATCCCTGAAATGTGAATGCACACATTTTCTTCTTAAGTAATGATCTCAGAGTATTCATCTAATATTCATTCACAAAATAGCTATAATTCACTATAAAATCAGAACAATTAGATCCTTTTACCATGTTGAATGACAAAAAGCACTAGCCACTTACCATACACAGCTGTGACTGCAAGTGTCAAAGTGAGAGGTGGCCACAACACAACCTTTGTCAGTACATCGACATCCAATAAGCTTACTATGGCAGATCCACTCTGTTACGGAAATTTGAGAGCCATTTAACACATCTAATATAGTGCAACATTCCAATTGCTAATGTATTAGTTACAGACATTTTGAATAACAATAATCCATTTACAAAAACAGAGAATCATCTTCAATAATAGAACCTTTCATTCCTTAGCTCAACTATGTGCACCCAGTTATAAATATTAAGAACACACGCTTAGATCCTTGTCTTAATATCAAACTAATTTCATGATTTATTAGTAGACTGTCTTGACTACTGTCAAGTAATTACCTTGAAAGAGGTGGGCAATGCACCTCCTACAACTACAGGTGCTATCAAGAAGGCCAAGACAGCACTTGGAAGACAGTCACAAGCATCTCGCATGGCTGCTATCAGTGCATGAATACAGATTGTGACTGTTGTAACACCACTACACCACAGTCCTGTAGAGTGCCATAATATACATACATCACTAAATAGGCATTTATGAAAAAATTGTATGCATGAAAATATGTTTTGTAAAGTTTGAGCTCCATAAGTATACAATTGGAAAAGCATTAGTCTTTTCTCTTCTTCCTTTCTCCTATTAATGTCTATGTATTATAAACTCATCAATTCACCAAGGTAGTCTCATGAAGACAATAAAACATCCGCTAAAACTTACCAAGGAAGACCACAGTGGAGACCCCTTGCTGCAGCCACATGAAGGGGAAAGGAAACACACTCAATAGGTGGGAGGCTGTTACCATTGCTGTGCCCACTGCCATTCCAACTCCTTCCACAATTTCCAGCTCAGTTGTGTCTTCATAGAATGTTCTGTTACTGTCAGGCCAAAGCATAGAAAAATAAATTAATGAAATGTTATAGACATTTGCATAATAATTTTATGTGAATTCAAGATGATCGGCAAGAAACTTGGCATCCATACATCTTTTAAAGCAATGATGACAAGATGCATGTACACATGCACTCTTCACTACAAGCCTGCATTTATATATCCAATATCAAGTGTGTGTCAGAAAAATAATCCCCTTAGATGCAGAGATTACTTGTTGCCAATTTTGCAAGAAGGCTGTAATAGAAATAATAATCTAAAAACTGTGTTTTAATAAAAAATTTATATTTTCGCCTAACATTTCATAAGAGGCTTATGTTATTATATTTAGCTTCTCCTGTTTACCTATTCTCTGAATTAGAAGGATAAACATGTAAAAAAAAAAAAGGGGGTGCACAGCAGCCTTGAATCCCTGTCTGGCAGTCTTCCTATTGCTTGTTTTATGAGCCCCTCCCTAAACCATACAATATGTGAGTGAGTGAATTTGAGAATGTGTATGAGCATGTGTGCATGTGTGTGTGTGTGCATGTGTGTGTGTCTGTGTTGTATTTGTGTGTGTGTTGTGTTGTGTGTTGTGTGTGTGTGTGGTGTGTGTGTTGTGTGTGGTGTTTGTGTGTGTGTGTGTGTGTGTTGTGTGTGTGTGTGTGTGTTGTGTGGTGTGTTGTGTGTGTGTGTGTGTGATGTTGTGTGTGTGTTGTGTGTGAGTGTGAGTGTGAGTGTGTGTTTGTGTGTGAGTGTGAGTGTGAGTGTGTGTGTGTGTGTGTGTGTGTGTGTGTGTGTGTGTGTGTGTGTGTGTGTGTTTGTGTGTGTGTGTGCCTTATTGAGGTCAATGTGAGCTGCGAGAATAGCCCATGCCCAAACACAACAGCATTCCACAATAATTCAAAGCGCTAGGATACAGTCTATTGTGGTATGTTTTGGTCTCTGGTGCCTCGGTAGATGGTCTCAGATCCATCTCAAAAGAATGTGATTGAGAACCTTGTATGCTGAGCAGCATGAGGCCACAGTAGCTACTGCAGTCTCAACAATACCCTTTCCCCATCCAGAGCTTACAGATCGCATTGGTAAGCTCAGTCTGGGTAGGAGGTTCTTTGCTGATGGCTAGATCCAGCACAAGGATTGCGACACCACTTGCACCCAAATAACTACAGGAGCATGAACGTGATACAGCTGCTTAAAATATTCAGCCCATTGTTCCTGAACCCAATATGATCTGAGATGCTCCATCCATCCACTGAGTGGACTGCAGTCATCTGTGAGGAGGGCTTAGTTCAGTTTTCTCAGGGCCTTGTAGGGAAGGCAAAGTTCATTTATTAAGAAATGGCCTTAGACTTCCTCAGCATGATTCCTTGTCTGTTCTCAACAGCGTCCAAGTCCTGCATGCTGTTGCAAATCCTGATTGCCACTCAGTTGTACCAAGCACCACACAACTGTAGCCTCCAGTATCTCCTAGGAGATGAAGTTCTGCCTTGTCCTTGGGTGTTTACCAGTGGACTCCTGAGCTGTGTCAAGTGTTTCAGACTTGAAGAAGTCCAACAGAACTACAGGGTCTGTCAAGTTTTTGAGCACTGCAAATCAATTGGTACCTGTATAGCAATATTGCCATACAATGTCTAGCAATGTGGGTTGGAGCACTGA